TGTCTCCAGGCCTCAGTTTCCCCACTTGATGGATTTTGCTCCAGCCCTATAGTGTTGAAATCCTGAAATGGGGATGGCCGTGTGTGTGTGTGTGTGTGTGTGTGTGTGTGTGTGTGTCCGCGCGTGCGTGCGCGTGAATTGGCTCTTGGCTGCATTCTCATTGTTCCCCCTCTTTCCTGCCCTTTCCCTCCCCAGATGGCATGATCAACATTGACATGACCGGAGAGAAGAGGCCCCTGGAGCTCCCATACCCTAGCAGCTTTGCCCCTATCTCCGCGCCTAGAAACCAGACCTTCACTTACATGGGCAAATTCTCCATTGACCCCCAGTACCCTGGTGCCAGCTGCTACCCAGAAGGCATCATCAATATTGTGAGTGCGGGCATCCTGCAAGGGGTCACCCCTCCAGCTTCAACCACAGCCTCATCTAGCGTCACCTCGGCCTCCCCGAACCCGCTGGCCACAGGACCCCTGGGTGTGTGTACCATGTCCCAGACCCAGCCTGAACTGGACCACCTTTACTCTCCACCGCCACCTCCTCCTCCGTATTCGAACTGTACAGGAGATCTCTACCAGGACCCTTCTGCATTCCTGTCACCACCCACGACTTCCACCTCCTCTCTGGCCTACCAGCCACCTCCTTCCTACCCATCCCCCAAGCCAGCCATGGATCCAGGTCTCATCCCTATGATCCCAGACTATCCTGGATTTTTCCCATCTCCGTGCCAGAGAGATCCACATGGTGCGGCTGGCCCGGATCGAAAGCCATTTCCCTGCCCTCTGGACTCCCTGCGGGTCCCCCCTCCGCTCACTCCACTCTCCACCATCCGTAATTTTACTCTGGGGGGTCCCGGTGCCGGAGTCACGGGACCAGGGGCAAGTGGAGGCAGTGAGGGACCCCGACTGCCCGGGAGTGGCTCTGCAGCAGTGACCACGACCCCCTATAACCCGCATCACCTGCCGTTGCGACCCATCCTGCGGCCCCGAAAGTACCCTAACAGGCCCAGCAAGACGCCAGTGCACGAGAGGCCCTACCCGTGTCCAGCCGAAGGCTGTGACAGGCGGTTCTCCCGCTCTGATGAGCTGACCCGGCACATCCGAATCCACACGGGCCACAAGCCCTTCCAGTGTCGCATCTGCATGCGGAACTTCAGCAGAAGTGACCACCTCACCACTCACATCCGCACCCACACCGGGGAGAAGCCCTTCGCCTGCGACTACTGTGGCCGCAAGTTTGCCAGGAGCGACGAGAGGAAGCGTCACACCAAGATCCACCTTCGACAGAAGGAGCGCAAGAGCAGTGCTCCCTCATCGTCTGCACCTGCCCAGTCTGCAGCCTCTGGTCCTGGAGGCTCGCAGGCCGGAGGCAGCCTGTGCGGGAACAGCACCCTTGGAGGACCACTGGCCTGCACCTCTCGGACCAGGACACCATGAGATGAAGCTCTGGCCGACACACCCGTTTCTCCATGCCCCAGAAGGCCTCCGTCCACTTGAGCTGCAAAAACACTACCACCCTTCTCCTCCATTCCTCTCTGAGAGTCTGGGCAAAGGACCTTGATGGAGCCCAGCCCTGCCCCACCTTCCTAGACACAGGGCCTTCCTGAAATTTAGGCCATTTGACTCTTTTAGGGGAGTTGACTCCATGCAACAAGGAGCCCGTAGAGGGCTGGAGTGATCCTGACTGACAAATCTCACTAGGTTTGGCTAGTCCTTCCCTTTATATTGACCCTGGATGTCAAGAGTTGTTCTGAGACTTTTTCTACAGTAGGTTGGGAGATGCTGATTCCTTTGAGTAAGGACAGCAAAAAAGACTGAGAAACTGACATTGCACTTTATGGCTTGGGACTGATTTGGGCGAAGTTGTACAGTGAGAGGAGCCTGGTCTCGGCTGGGGCGTTCTGCTGCCCTAGAACAGTGAATTGAAGTGTACCTAGCCGTGGGAACCCTTAAGCAATAGGTACGAAAAACTCAGAGAACGGAAGGAAGTGCAATGGTGGGAGGGGAAAGCAATATTGGCTCCTTTTTGTTGAGAAACAAAGATTATTTTTTCAGTGTATATCCATTGAGAGTTTGTGTATTTTTGATGTGCACTGTTCTTCTCCAAGTTCTGAACCTTTGGGAAAAAAATGTAAAGCATTTATGATCTCTTGAAATGAGTCAAAGGTTAACTTATTTAAAGGGGGATGTACATAGGATGCATGCAGTTGTGTGGGAAGTGTCCTCTGTGCCTTGTGTGATGTGGGCAGTGTTACAGGGTCTGCATGTATACAGGATGCCTTACTATGGAAAAAAAAAATCATTCCCTGGGTTTAAGTATGGCTGTATATTTCTGCCTATTAATATTTGGAATTTTTTTAGAAAGTATATTTTTGTATGCTCTGTTTTGTGACTTAAAAGTGTTACCTTTGTAGTCAAATTTCAGATGAGAATGTGCATAATATCACTGCAGCTGATTTGTTTATTAGCCCTTAATAGTTGTGGAAAAACAAACAACCTATTCTAACATAAAACCACTAACTGGAGTTCAGATAATGGATGGTTTATGACTATGGTGTAAATAAATACTTTTCAACAATATTTTTTTTTGCTGCAGAAGTCATTTACGAAGTGCTTACTGGGTGGAACTAAAACAGATATTCCCATCTGTGAACTAGGAACAGAAGACCACTCTAGCCAGCGGGCTAGCACAGGACCTCCATGTTGCCTTGCTGGCCCATGGACACTAAGTCGAACTCTCCATTCATAAGCCATAGTTAGTTTTCAGGGGTTTCCCCCTTTGAATTAGTGTCAGTCGGGAGGCCTTCTGACTCATCGTTCCATCCCCTCTAACAGCCTATAGCTTCTCTATGCTCCTGAGTGGGCTCTGGAAAATAAATACTTGCAAACAAGTGCCTCCTTGGAGATGACAACCCCAGAGCTGCTTTCAGAACTCTGACCACGGCCTAGGGCTCTTTTGAGTTGTGGCTTTGTGGAAAGTGTGGCGGCATGGTCAAATTGGAAATGACTTTTGGGTTCCGGGATTAATCTTATGACCACAGAAAACTTTTTCAAAGAGCTATCATCCTTTCAGATCAAAATTGCTCAGACACTGATGATGACAACATTAATGGGTGGTTGCAGGAATTACCCCAGGACTCATTTCTCTCCGGTCCTGGCTTCTCAGATGACTGCCCATATTTGGAAGGATCACTTGTCATAAGGTCGGTGGATCTAGAAGGGATTCTCAAGGTATCTTGTTAGGTGAGAAAGGTGACTACCAACCTGTAAAACTCCAAGGCAATTTAAATTTAATAGGTAAGTAGTCTCCCCCAAGACACCGGATAATGGTTTGCAAAATAATACTGTGTAAGGCTTCTTTTACTGGGAACCTTTTGTGATTTTCTTTTAAACACAAAATAATCTCACCTACTTATCTTGTGCTTATCTTACAAAGCAAACAGATCATGTCTTTGTTAGCGTCTTTACTCTGACGTTACTACTAAATACTTAATGTCCAGTACCTCTTATAAACCAGTAATCTGCTCAGTCTCATTAGAAAATCCTTCCCTTGCTTTCCAGTCCCTGTAAAGTCCCTCAGGCTGATGGCTGCTAGTCAAGGGCCTGTATTTTTACAGCAGGGGGACACATCTTTGGCCCTTCCCAGCACAAGGATTTGAGACTCAATTTATAGAGGCAACTGATGTCTTTTTCTTTCCTGCATCATCTTCCTTTTATCCCCATTTCAAGGACATAGAAACTTCTTTCCAGAACTCCTAAATAGATTTTAAAACCTGAGTGTGGGATGTTTTCCTAATTTTATAATTTCCCACTGGAGTCAGGCTTAGAGCATGTCATTGTTGTTTATCCAACACTGGCAACTATAAAGCCATGCCACACTGTGGTTACTTTTAAACAAATACTTCTCTCCCGAGAAACTTTCATCATTTAAAGGTCTGGTACACCTAAATTTCGTAGTTTTTAACCTTCTTCCCAAACTTTAATTGTAGAACATCTCCAGTCAAGACCGCCTAAGCCATGATTTCAAAAGCAAGACTAAATGTCGTCGTTTAAGGAACAACAAGAACTCTCCACGCTAAACACACTGGTTGATTATGTGACCAGTTTCATGTTGGTGTGGTGGCAAACCTCACCAACAAGCCCTAGGAAATTAGCATACCTGTTTGCCCAGGCCAACCTTGTGGCTTTTGCCCCCGGATTCTTACAGTACCTGTAACCAGGTTTCTTTCTCAGCTTAAAGCATTTAGGCCAATTTCCAAGACATTTTTTATAAAAGTATGCCCAAGAAATCCACACAGAAAGGTAAATTTGGTTCTTTTCATCTCTTCCCCTGTACTTTAAGGGATAATACTATAAATGTTTCAGCTTTTCGTGGAGAGTGATTCCTTACAGATTCATGCCTCTGAGAAGTTTGATTTGCAGCATAAACTGTTGATTAAACCTAAATAACATTCTCAAGACAGGTTATTTAGTTTCCATAGTCTAACTGCTAATGTGATCAGAGTAAATTATCTTAGAAAGTTTCTCAAATGTTGTTAATACGTCAGCATGTATGTAGAGGCAGGTAGGTGCAGACACCTAAAATACTGCCAGTTCAAACTACCATCAAATTTGTAAGACAAGACCAGACCAGGAGATGAAAAAACTTAGGGTCTTAAAAATTTTTTTCCATTTAGGATAAAAGTTAACTTCGTTTTCTTGTTATTTTCTTTAGGTTAAATACAAAAGCGGCATTTTCTGTGTTACAGCAAAATAGTGTAATTAGACATTAAATACTCTCAGATGGGTTTTCAGTCATCTTGTTTCAAAGGCCACTCGCAGGAAAATAAAGTAATTTTAAGTTTATACCACTTCTTGGCCTTTGGAAATCTGTAGGCCACTGGCTTTTGGCATACTACAATCTTATGAAATAAACTGTGAGTTTTTAACAATAATTAAAATATAGTTATCATTGTAGGTAATGTTTCCCTTTTCCACTGTGTAATAACCAACATTACTTCCACATCATTTTAAACATGCCTTTATTTCCCGTAAGTACACAGATTTTACTCAGAAACGTAAACACCCCTGCATTTAAAGCTTGGGTTATCATTAACAAATTATCTTTCTTTGACAGCAGAAACCTCAATGCAATAGACCAATGAGCATTTGGAACATCTGGAGTCTGTGTAACCCTAAGCTCTGACTGCAGGACTGCAGGTCTAGGAGCAAATGCTGTCAGGGTAGTTGAACGGCAACGGCAGAGGTCTGAAGTGGGGATGCATTGCTTCTCTGCTGGGCAGGAGAGCTAAAGCAGAGGGCTCATTTGTAATAGGAGTGGGCAAAGTCCTCCCCAGATGTCAAGATCGAGGAAACTACAAGACAATGCAAAGGGGGAAGGAAAGGTGTGATTTTGATAGTGAGACTCTAGTCATGTTAAAAAGTCAGAGAACTCACTCTTACTGAGAAAACACATTATTACTTAAAAGGCAGGCTTTTTCATTTAATCAGCAGCATTTGGTATTTAACCCATCAATTCTCAAAGGAGTAGGAAGGTAAGAAAAATCTTACATCAATATAAGTGGTCACTGATATAACTATGAAATTTAAAAGCTTCAGAGTATTTAGACAGACAGACAGATTCTCATCCATGAGCTGCAGTTATTGCATTTATTATTCATCAGAAAACTTAAGTGACTAATACCATTGTGCTCATTGGTCTTCCCGAAGGAAAGGAGAAAGAAACTTTTATCCCAGTTTCTAGACCACAATCTAGTGTAGACCTATATGGAAACACAATGGCAGCAGTTACAGCTAAGAGTTTATGCATAGAAGTGCAAAGATTTTCTTGCACATTTTATCTTAGTAATGAGCATATTCTTTCCACAGTGCCTCATTAAAACAAGTTACACTGTTTTCACCCTAAGTTTACTCAACGTATTAGTGAGACAACAGTTCCGCTGTTCTTATTGAACGGATGAGGAACAGTATTGCTGTTTTAGCCCAGAACAATTTCAGTTATTCTTTTGAAGAGCACCTTAGTTTTTTCCTTCCGGATTGCTTATTACAGACCTTTAACATTCCCCTCCTTCTTTGCAATTGAGGCTTTCATAATAACTTTTATTACTAGCCTAGTTCCAGGCTAGGTTCTTAGAGGCTAGCTTAAAGTACCTCAAAGTACCCTGTAACATACACACGACTGAACAATCTTTGTAAAAGAATCAACCTTTGCTACCATTCAAAAACTGTATGTGGCTGAAAACTACACTCATTGCTAGTCTATGAAAAAAAAAAAAAACCGTCAAGTTTAAAACCATCACTTACTATCTAGACTTCCAAAGGAATGGCTCAAAGGGCTGCTCCACAGGGATCCACAGACGTTTTAAACACCTAGATGGGAGGCAACCCGACTCTAGCAGGCCTGGTGGAAGTGCTTGGTGGTGTACCTGTGTCAGATTTATAACCGGGTTTCACTGGCCTGTTGTTTCCATTTTTATTAAAACAAAACAAAACGAAAAAAAAAACACAAGCTACATCATCAATGATTTGCTTTTTCGGACCGCTTTGATGACTGGGAACAAACAGGCCGTCAGCCTGGGTCTGTGTAACCTGGATACGTGGGGTCAAAGGCAGTTTCCCTACCAGGTCAACAAACACTAGCCACCCTTGATAGTAAGTGTCCATTTATTACAGATATTAGACTTCTATTGCCATATGAGCAATCAAGAGGGCTTAGAAGACAGCTGGACACCTTTCATTTCTCAGTTTGTCTTTATGAAAAGGCCTGTGATAAAAAGGAACCCTATAAACAGTAAAAAGGGAGAACCAGTGCTCCATGGCCAGAAGCTACGTTATCAACACATCTGTAAACGAGGTAAAGGTACTTAGCCGGTGATAATGCTGCAGAGAGCTGCTAGTGTTTGTTGCAAGAGTTGGCACAAGGGTTTAATCTCCGATCTTGGTGCCCTAAAATGGCTAAATTCTCAACTGTCTATCCCAAGTATCCATTATACATGTGTGTACACACACACACACACACACACACATTTATGTTAGTGTCTCATGTATCCAAAGCTCCTCTCAAATTCACTATGTAGCCAAGGCTGACCTTGAACTTCTAATCCTCCTGTCTCTACTTCCTAAATGCTGGAGTTATGTGTGTGCCACACTTGGTTTATGTAGTGCTGAGGACTGAGCTTCTTGCCTGCTTGGCAGGCAGCCTACATCCAGAACCCTTCCCAGGGTACTACATGTCTTCTACCTCTTCCTACAGGAAGGGCCATCAGTGGCTCTTCTTTAAGGGAGGGCTGGGATACTAACCCCCAGCAACAGAGCTGGAACCACAGCCCTCAGCAGGGTTCCCGGGAGAATGCAAAAAAAAAAAAAAAGAGTCAAAGTCCAGGTGGATGCTGGAAGATGCTGGAAGTAAATAGTAAATAGGTGGCCAGGGGCCTTACATTCAGTTATTTGGAAGCACAACAGATTCAGCTCCTCGGAATCCACTGTATCACCTTTGAAGTACATTAAGAAAAAAGTCACTCGAGGATAAAACAGTCTTTGCTTTCAAGGTGATTCCCCAACAGCAAAAACGGTTTTACTGACAGATCTGGAGACTCCAGGGGAAGGTGAGCTCTAAGGTCCTGGCCTCAGGGAATTCACATGTGTCAGCTTCTTACTAAAGGCTACCTGAGAACACCAAATGTGGCTACTAGGCCAGGGGAGGAAAGAAATCGTCCTCCCCACACAGAGTTGAGAGAGTGGACCCCAGTGCGGGGAAAGATATCTTTTCAGATCTGCTCACTTTAGAAACTCAGTTTTGTTTGGTTTTTGTTTCTTTTTTTTAACCAATGGCCTGAACTAAAAAACAATTCAAGGTCATGCACAATCAGTAATAAATTATCAAGTAACAAAAGATCCTATGGGCAGGAGAGAAAACAGATCTTAGTCACCAAAGGGAGGAGAGCTTCAAAACCATTTAGTGTATTTTGTAGAGAATGAGAAACAAGGATATTTTCATTATGGCTTTAGTATGGAAGCGCTGTAGGGTCCCCTGCCCCACTCCCTTCAATCAAAACCTTGGTGGCAGTGACAGTACCAGGAAGCAACCTAGCCTCCCCCCCACCCGCCCCCCTAACCGTGCCCGGTGGCTGTACTCCAGTGGGCCGTGCTCCCCAAGGTTGCCCAAGATGAGGCGCTGGTCACTCCAGTAGATCGATCCATCGCTCAGGAGAGGGGACAGAGAGAGGAGCCCTTATGGCAGGTCGCACAGGCAGCCAGGCCTTTCTTGAGCAAGGCAGGGCACATCTTTGGCCCACAGTTGCCGGGCAGCGGGGGCTTCAAGGTAGAACCTTGGGGCCTGGATAGGGCTCTCCCTCGCACCAGAAGTCATCGGCCTGTGGGGTCTCCAGGAGCCACACTTCTCGGGGCAGGTCGCAGGCCGAGCTGGAGGCCTCCTTGGGCCTGATGGGCTCCAGCACACGGTAATAGTGGCAGTCCCGGCCGTCGTCCGGGTCGTAGGGTGGGGCCAGGATGTCCAGGAAGGCGGCGGGCCCGTCCACCGCATCAATCTGGTGCAGGTTGTCCCGGTGGGGCGTGAGCACGCAGGGCCCGCTGGCCTCGGTGTACTCGGCCCGGGAGCGCAGCACGCCGGGCCGCACGGCCTCCCGCTCCCGGGGCTGCAGCGGCGGCTCGAACTGCTGCTCGGGCGGTGGCGCCCGCGGCCCCGCACCCGCGTCCAGCTTGTCCATGCAGCTGATGCGTACCGTCCCGTAGAGCACCTTGAGCATACCGTGCATGCCCGGGTGGTCGTGCAAGGGGATGCACGTGCCGCTCTTGAGCAGGAACACGCCCAGGCTGAAGCCCTCGGTCTCGTAGATGTGCATGTAGGTGACCGGCGGGAGGTGGCGCGGCAGCGGCTGCGGCAGCGCCTTCCGGGGCGCGATGTTGAGGTCCTCGGCGCGCAGCTGGGTCAGCAGGCTCTTCAGCTGGCTCAGGTTCTCGGGGAAGCCCGGCGCGGGAGCTTCGGAGGCGCTGGGGCCGCCGCGGAAGGTGAGGCACGCCTGGCGGGCGATGCGCTGGATCAGGGAGGCCATGTTGTCACGGGGCATGCTTGGCGCTTCCTGCGCGGCGCGCGGACGGCCCGTTCCTCCTCGGCGCC